AAAAAAAAAAAAAATGCATGTAAACATCACTTCCAAGTCCCTGGCGAACCCTTGAGTCTTTGATCTCCTCTTTGTGACATTTTACAGTTTTACTTGCTCGGCTTCCTTGGAGGGATCAGTCTTTTTTTTTCTTATTAACGGAGTTCGGAGTCTGAGGCTGCCTCTGGATATGAGCGTGTGGTTTGATTGGCAGAAAGAGTATTATCAGGAGACTTATGATGTGTAAATAAAAATACATGGACCTAGAATAAAACATACACAAAAATTAAATTGCACACAAGGATACAAACGGAAAATGTCACATGGGTGTGATCACACCATCTGCAGTCCAGCAAGTGCCCGGCTTCAGTCCACACCGCAGAAACCTCCAGCAGGTGAGCAGGCCACAGAAGGGCCAAAGCCACAGGACTGGGTACAGCAAACTCATCAGCCTGTCTGCAGACAGACATATAGTACTGTCCTGCTGCCAGAAGCAGACGAAGAACATTAATCCCACGACAGACCGTCAGAATCCCCTAATACTCAAAATATATGAGGATACAGGAAAATGCAAACCCTATATTCTGTTCCCTAGAAACAAACACAGCTTACACTTTAGCTGATGTACGCAAGCATAAGGGGTTCTTCTTGTGTGTGTTAGGAGCCAGAAGAATCCAGATTTTCAAAGCTTACTCCATAACTCTGAAAATCGCTTTCATCCAAACTAATAAGAAACAAGTGTTGCTTTTGAGTCTGTGGGACTTTTATTGCGTAAATGTGTTCAGCATGCTGAGCACAAAGTGGACCGTACTGGGCGTATCTGTAAATGTAATTGATTAGAAACAGCCTGCATTTGTACAATTGTTCTAGATCCTTTTGGAAAGACTGACTTAGGCTTTCTCCAATGCTGTTTGAAGAGCAAGGGAAAAGTAATGTTAAAAGGAGGGGAAAAGACCCACAATGGATTCATGTATCATTCCTCAGCTTCTGTGATCATAAGGTCAGACACATTGGAATTTACTTTAACCCACTGAGCCACCCAGGCGCCCCCGGAATCTGATAATTTACTTATCCCCTAAACTTCCCCCAAAATGTCTACAGAATAGTCAAGACTTCTAACAGAAGGGAACACATCTTCACTCATTCTCTCAATAAGCATTTACTGCTTAGGGTGTACAAAGCATTAAACGAGGATCTACAAAAAGGCAAAGCCCCCATCTCTTCCTTCAGGGGGATGGGAAACAAGACAAGTATAAGAGGTAAGGGTATACTTTCCCCCCACTGAGCTGGAGGACAGGTTTCAAAACCCCCAAGTGGATGTCTCAAACTGTGGATAGTGCTGAACCCTCTGTATACTATGTTTGCCCTACATGTACCTACCTATGGTAGAGTTTATGAATTAGGCACAGTATGAGATTAATAACTAATAATGAAATAGAACAATTATAATCACATACTATGAAAATGTGGTCTCTTCTCTCAAAATCCAGTATAGTGGTACTGTACTCACCCTTCTTGAGATGATGGGAGATGATTAAATTAGTAGCGTGGGGCTATGACTGACCTTCTGACCAAATACATCAGAAGGAGGATCATTGGTCTCCGGAGAGCAAAAGACCATGACAGAAACCATGGAAAGTAAAAGTGGGCATGAGGGGCTCCCAGAATCGAACCAGCCCCAGGTAAGTGAGCAACTCATTTATTGTCTAAACCAGAACACAGAGAATGAAAGAATTCTACAAACAGACACAATAGCTCAACAGGTGTAAACTAGGGTTCGCAACAGACATAGATTTCAGCCTGCACATCTGTATACTTTGCTCTTGCATTTTGCCATAACCTCTCTTATGTGACCAGAGCTACATTGGAACAATTATGTTAAAGCCAAATATTTTAGGAGTCAAGGGAAAAATATTTCAAACCCCTGGCAAAATTTAGAAACCTATTCTGACCCACCATATTTTCCTAAAATTTTAAGACCTATTTTATCTTTTTATTATGGAAAAACAACATTTATGGAGCACACTAGGGCTGATCTAGGTACTCCAGATGCACAGATGAACAAGGCACAGTTCCCACGCTCGAGGACTTTTTATCTACAAAAATATCTATACAAATTCTAACATCCTTGCACGTGAATTTAAGGGTCATCTACTTAACGTATATAGTTTTGCTTTTCAAAATGAGTTCACAGCAAGGCTCTGCTATGGACTAAACATGATGGTATTTGGAGAAGTAGAGCTTGGAGAGGTAATCTGGTTGGGTGGGGCCCCCATGATGGGATTAGTGCCTTTATAAGAAAATAGAAACCAGAGCTGATGCTGTCTGTGTGTGTGTCTCTCTCTCTCTCCTTTCTCTCTGCCAAGTGAGGGCACAGTGAGAAGGCAGGCTTCCTTAAGCCCAGAAGAGAGCTTCCACCAGAAACTGAATCTGGGGCGCCTTGATCTTGGACTTCCCAGACTCCACAATGGTGAGAAATTGTTGTTGAATTCACTGTCTGTACTTAGTCCTAGCATCCTGAGCGAAGACAGGTTCTTTCATAACACACTGAAGTGCTCACTTGGGACTCACTCACAGCTTAGAAGAAAGAAGATTAGGGAGGAATTTAAAGCTATGAAGTCATGATAGAGTGAAAACTGACTACGTTTAAAAATAAAGCAGGTCTGAAATTGAAATGTTAAGCAGCGAAGGACAGACTGAGAAGCCGATTTGCATACACCTGCCATTCAGGGCTGGTTACAGTACAATTAGCCCCAAGTGGGGAACAGATCTGGAATGTAACCAGACCCACCTCCACTAAAAGACGATTCCATTTTCATTTCTTCCATCAGTTTCAATGATTCTCTTAAGAGATGCTGAAAACATTTTTTTTTAAATAAAGATTTTACTTATTTATTTAAGAGAGTGAAAGAGCACAAGCAGGGAGAGCAGGAGAGGGAGAAGCAGGTTCCCTTTTGAGAAGCCATCTAGGATCGCCTCTGGCAACATGTGACTTAAAATTCAAATTAATTAAGATAAAACTGAAAATTCAGTTCCTCAGTCATACTAGCCACATGCGCCCATGGCTAATATGCCAGATGGCATTTCTGTCATTGCAGACACTTCTAGGGGACAGAGCTGATCTGGATAGGGAATGACTGCGTGTGAAGAGAAACGGAAATCTGCTTGGGTGATCTGGATTGGATCTGATTCTTCCCCTAGAGCCCCCGAGTGTAGGAACCAGCATGCTGTAGTCTGTTACATGCATGTTATCTCAAACAAATCCCTATTTAGCCTGATTGTTCACCAGTAACATTCTTCCCAAGTAGCTTCTCCCAAAGAAACGTTCTTTCTACTGTTCTTGCTGCAAAGGAACTTTGGGTCTGAAACTCCGGTCCAACTGTGTGAGTTTTCTTCAGTTACCCACTCTGAGTTTCCACTTCCTGCAAGGATAAACAGGGATCCTGACCCCTGCTTCTCTCTCCCCCAGCTCACTGCTAGTTACCACAGAGTCTACCCTCTGCCAACACTCATGGCACTTGGGGCTTCAGTGCCAGACCTCCTCTAGCACAAGGGGCCTGTCTATGCTATTCCCTGCATCTAGAGCACAGTGCGGAGTGCTCCAGCCTGCCCCCCCCCCCCCCCCCCCCCTCATACACGCTATGTCCATTTTCATGCCTCCTCTGTAGCCCAGGTCTTAGCCCAAAGGCCACTTTCACTCCAAGGTTGCCCTGGATGGCCAGTCGGAGTCTGATCTTTGTACCATTTACTCAGAGAACAATTTCAGTGAGTAGTTAAAATCGGTCCATTAATGCCTGTCTCCTCCATCAAACTAGCCTCTCCGTGGGACCAGGACTGACTGCTGTCTCTTTTATTCTCACTACGTTCTCACCAGCTTCTAGAACGGTGCCCAGCAAACATAAGGTATGAAATGGTATTGAGTTGAATTCGGTCATTTCTGCTACCACGTGAAAAAAAAAGTCACCCACTCAGCAGTATCATGCACTTAGAATACTGGGGCATAGAGAGGTACGACTTGCTAGCAAGAGCGCTAACAAAACCAGTTCAATGTTAAAATGTAGACTAGAAAGGGCGAATATTGGCTGGAGGTCACAGATGCAGGGGCAAGAAGATGGGCTGTGTGTGAAGGGGCCTGCCCTCAGGGTGAGCATGGAGGGGGAAAGCCAGCTGAGAGCCAGGGCAGAGCAGGTTGGGGGGGGCAGGGACCACCTCTCAAATAAGGGAGCTCAGTGGAATGGGGTACTGAGAGGGGAGATCTCTCAGAAGAGGGAGCTCATGAAGGGAGGCTACTGATAAGGGGAGTGCCTCTGCCTGCCACTCTGTCTGCCTGTGCTCGCTCTCTCTCTCTCTCTCTCTGACAAATAAATAAATAAAATCTTTAAAAAAAAAAAAAAAGAAAGAAACACAGTATTCATTCAGTATGCAACCCATTTTTGACCATCTGATTTGAACAGGTTCTCTTCTCCCAAGGCATTTATTTCAGGGCACACCATTGCAACATGTAATTATCAGCATCACCATTATTGTTTTGCACACTTGATACCATGTTTCTTTCTCCCACATAGAATTACTACCCAAGAGGAGTCCCTGAAAGGAACCACAGCACATTCATAACAAAGATAAAAATGATCTTCAGATTCAACTAAAACAGTCCGATTTCATCAGCTGCAAAATCAGAAAAGTGAAAACCAGCCCACGTGTCATCACAGCCATGATCATTCACACCTCTATGAAATGAGGGGAGCAAAGAGAAAAATGTCTGTTGCTTCTTACCAAGCTTCTATATAATTTTAAATTACTTTTTTTTAAAAAAAATTACTTATTTAAAAGACATTTTGTTGCCTTTGGTGGCGAAACATTTGGGTGTTTCTCAAGGCCATCCCTGGGCAAGGCAGAGGGAGCATGTGAAATGGAAAATAGTAGCCCTTCCTAGACTCCTGGGGTATGCGCACAGGAGACTTTCTGATTTCCAATCTTGGCTCAGTTCAAAGAAAAAAGGGAAGCATTCTATCCCTGCGAGGAAAAAAAAATGCAGCCTACTTCAGGGCATGCCTTTCAGTCCATTGAAGTGTTCACAACAAGTCCTCCTGGCTCCTCTTGCAGGATCGATCCTCTCCTCCACGGTCTTCTGTGTAGTCACTGTGCTCAAAGGGTCTGCAGCTTCCCGAGGAACAACTGTGTCTGGCTGGGTATGTTCTAGAAGACAAGCTCTGTTGGTAACCACCTTCTGCCTTCTGGAGCAGATGTCCAGGTTCCAGGGATGGGAAATCATGCCAGAAAAGCAAAGACCCAGCAGCCCAGAATGGCTAGTCTCTGTCTACAAAGCCGGCACAGTCTCCACACCACTCAAATGTCCTCGGAAATATTAAATCAACTGGACATGGCTGACTTAATCATATAAAAGGCTTTATAAAATCCTCCCTGCACTTAAAAAAAAAAAAAAATGCATGTAAACATCACTTCCAAGTCCCTGGCGAACCCTTGAGTCTTTGATCTCCTCTTTGTGACATTTTACAGTTTTACTTGCTCGGCTTCCTTGGAGGGATCAGTCTTTTTTTTTCTTATTAACGGAGTTCGGAGTCTGAGGCTGCCTCTGGATATGAGCGTGTGGTTTGATTGGCAGAAAGAGTATTATCAGGAGACTTATGATGTGTAAATAAAAATACATGGACCTAGAATAAAACATACACAAAAATTAAATTGCACACAAGGATACAAACGGAAAATGTCACATGGGTGTGATCACACCATCTGCAGTCCAGCAAGTGCCCGGCTTCAGTCCACACCGCAGAAACCTCCAGCAGGTGAGCAGGCCACAGAAGGGCCAAAGCCACAGGACTGGGTACAGCAAACTCATCAGCCTGTCTGCAGACAGACATATAGTACTGTCCTGCTGCCAGAAGCAGACGAAGAACATTAATCCCACGACAGACCGTCAGAATCCCCTAATACTCAAAATATATGAGGATACAGGAAAATGCAAACCCTATATTCTGTTCCCTAGAAACAAACACAGCTTACACTTTAGCTGATGTACGCAAGCATAAGGGGTTCTTCTTGTGTGTGTTAGGAGCCAGAAGAATCCAGATTTTCAAAGCTTACTCCATAACTCTGAAAATCGCTTTCATCCAAACTAATAAGAAACAAGTGTTGCTTTTGAGTCTGTGGGACTTTTATTGCGTAAATGTGTTCAGCATGCTGAGCACAAAGTGGACCGTACTGGGCGTATCTGTAAATGTAATTGATTAGAAACAGCCTGCATTTGTACAATTGTTCTAGATCCTTTTGGAAAGACTGACTTAGGCTTTCTCCAATGCTGTTTGAAGAGCAAGGGAAAAGTAATGTTAAAAGGAGGGGAAAAGACCCACAATGGATTCATGTATCATTCCTCAGCTTCTGTGATCATAAGGTCAGACACATTGGAATTTACTTTAACCCACTGAGCCACCCAGGCGCCCCCGGAATCTGATAATTTACTTATCCCCTAAACTTCCCCCAAAATGTCTACAGAATAGTCAAGACTTCTAACAGAAGGGAACACATCTTCACTCATTCTCTCAATAAGCATTTACTGCTTAGGGTGTACAAAGCATTAAACGAGGATCTACAAAAAGGCAAAGCCCCCATCTCTTCCTTCAGGGGGATGGGAAACAAGACAAGTATAAGAGGTAAGGGTATACTTTCCCCCCACTGAGCTGGAGGACAGGTTTCAAAACCCCCAAGTGGATGTCTCAAACTGTGGATAGTGCTGAACCCTCTGTATACTATGTTTGCCCTACATGTACCTACCTATGGTAGAGTTTATGAATTAGGCACAGTATGAGATTAATAACTAATAATGAAATAGAACAATTATAATCACATACTATGAAAATGTGGTCTCTTCTCTCAAAATCCAGTATAGTGGTACTGTACTCACCCTTCTTGAGATGATGGGAGATGATTAAATTAGTAGCGTGGGGCTATGACTGACCTTCTGACCAAATACATCAGAAGGAGGATCATTGGTCTCCGGAGAGCAAAAGACCATGACAGAAACCATGGAAAGTAAAAGTGGGCATGAGGGGCTCCCAGAATCGAACCAGCCCCAGGTAAGTGAGCAACTCATTTATTGTCTAAACCAGAACACAGAGAATGAAAGAATTCTACAAACAGACACAATAGCTCAACAGGTGTAAACTAGGGTTCGCAACAGACATAGATTTCAGCCTGCACATCTGTATACTTTGCTCTTGCATTTTGCCATAACCTCTCTTATGTGACCAGAGCTACATTGGAACAATTATGTTAAAGCCAAATATTTTAGGAGTCAAGGGAAAAATATTTCAAACCCCTGGCAAAATTTAGAAACCTATTCTGACCCACCATATTTTCCTAAAATTTTAAGACCTATTTTATCTTTTTATTATGGAAAAACAACATTTATGGAGCACACTAGGGCTGATCTAGGTACTCCAGATGCACAGATGAACAAGGCACAGTTCCCACGCTCGAGGACTTTTTATCTACAAAAATATCTATACAAATTCTAACATCCTTGCACGTGAATTTAAGGGTCATCTACTTAACGTATATAGTTTTGCTTTTCAAAATGAGTTCACAGCAAGGCTCTGCTATGGACTAAACATGATGGTATTTGGAGAAGTAGAGCTTGGAGAGGTAATCTGGTTGGGTGGGGCCCCCATGATGGGATTAGTGCCTTTATAAGAAAATAGAAACCAGAGCTGATGCTGTCTGTGTGTGTGTCTCTCTCTCTCTCCTTTCTCTCTGCCAAGTGAGGGCACAGTGAGAAGGCAGGCTTCCTTAAGCCCAGAAGAGAGCTTCCACCAGAAACTGAATCTGGGGCGCCTTGATCTTGGACTTCCCAGACTCCACAATGGTGAGAAATTGTTGTTGAATTCACTGTCTGTACTTAGTCCTAGCATCCTGAGCGAAGACAGGTTCTTTCATAACACACTGAAGTGCTCACTTGGGACTCACTCACAGCTTAGAAGAAAGAAGATTAGGGAGGAATTTAAAGCTATGAAGTCATGATAGAGTGAAAACTGACTACGTTTAAAAATAAAGCAGGTCTGAAATTGAAATGTTAAGCAGCGAAGGACAGACTGAGAAGCCGATTTGCATACACCTGCCATTCAGGGCTGGTTACAGTACAATTAGCCCCAAGTGGGGAACAGATCTGGAATGTAACCAGACCCACCTCCACTAAAAGACGATTCCATTTTCATTTCTTCCATCAGTTTCAATGATTCTCTTAAGAGATGCTGAAAACATTTTTTTTTAAATAAAGATTTTACTTATTTATTTAAGAGAGTGAAAGAGCACAAGCAGGGAGAGCAGGAGAGGGAGAAGCAGGTTCCCTTTTGAGAAGCCATCTAGGATCGCCTCTGGCAACATGTGACTTAAAATTCAAATTAATTAAGATAAAACTGAAAATTCAGTTCCTCAGTCATACTAGCCACATGCGCCCATGGCTAATATGCCAGATGGCATTTCTGTCATTGCAGACACTTCTAGGGGACAGAGCTGATCTGGATAGGGAATGACTGCGTGTGAAGAGAAACGGAAATCTGCTTGGGTGATCTGGATTGGATCTGATTCTTCCCCTAGAGCCCCCGAGTGTAGGAACCAGCATGCTGTAGTCTGTTACATGCATGTTATCTCAAACAAATCCCTATTTAGCCTGATTGTTCACCAGTAACATTCTTCCCAAGTAGCTTCTCCCAAAGAAACGTTCTTTCTACTGTTCTTGCTGCAAAGGAACTTTGGGTCTGAAACTCCGGTCCAACTGTGTGAGTTTTCTTCAGTTACCCACTCTGAGTTTCCACTTCCTGCAAGGATAAACAGGGATCCTGACCCCTGCTTCTCTCTCCCCCAGCTCACTGCTAGTTACCACAGAGTCTACCCTCTGCCAACACTCATGGCACTTGGGGCTTCAGTGCCAGACCTCCTCTAGCACAAGGGGCCTGTCTATGCTATTCCCTGCATCTAGAGCACAGTGCGGAGTGCTCCAGCCTGCCCCCCCCACCCTCCCCTCCTCATACACGCTATGTCCATTTTCATGCCTCCTCTGTAGCCCAGGTCTTAGCCCAAAGGCCACTTTCACTCCAAGGTTGCCCTGGATGGCCAGTCGGAGTCTGATCTTTGTACCATTTACTCAGAGAACAATTTCAGTGAGTAGTTAAAATCGGTCCATTAATGCCTGTCTCCTCCATCAAACTAGCCTCTCCGTGGGACCAGGACTGACTGCTGTCTCTTTTATTCTCACTACGTTCTCACCAGCTTCTAGAACGGTGCCCAGCAAACATAAGGTATGAAATGGTATTGAGTTGAATTCGGTCATTTCTGCTACCACGTGAAAAAAAAAGTCACCCACTCAGCAGTATCATGCACTTAGAATACTGGGGCATAGAGAGGTACGACTTGCTAGCAAGAGCGCTAACAAAACCAGTTCAATGTTAAAATGTAGACTAGAAAGGGCGAATATTGGCTGGAGGTCACAGATGCAGGGGCAAGAAGATGGGCTGTGTGTGAAGGGGCCTGCCCTCAGGGTGAGCATGGAGGGGGAAAGCCAGCTGAGAGCCAGGGCAGAGCAGGTTGGGGGGGGCAGGGACCACCTCTCAAATAAGGGAGCTCAGTGGAATGGGGTACTGAGAGGGGAGATCTCTCAGAAGAGGGAGCTCATGAAGGGAGGCTACTGATAAGGGGAGTAACTCTCAGAGGTGGGGGCTCAGTGAAAGGAGGGTAGGGAGAGGAGGGATAACTCTCAGAGGTGGGGGCTCAGTGAAAGGAGGGTAGGGAGAGGAGGGATAACTCTCAGAAGAGGGAGCTCAGTGAAGGGGATAACTCAGAGTGGGAATATCTCTAACAGGGAGCTCAGTGACAAGGGCTACAGAGAGGGGGTTTGGCTCTCAGAAGTAGGAGCATAATGTGTGTGTGTACTGACAGGGAGGATCTCTCTCAAAAGAGGGAGGTAAGGGAAAGGCGGGTAGTGCAGTCAGAGATCTCCCAGAAGAAGGAGCTCAGTGAACGGATGGCATGGAGAGGGGGATATCATTCAGGAAAGGGAGCTCAGTGAAGGGGGTTACTGACAGGGGAGTGTCTCAGAAGAGGGAGCTCACTGAAGGAAGGTACTGACATGGGGGTATCACTCAGAAGAGGGACCTCAGTGAAGGGGGTATAGTGACAGGGGAATATCTCTCAGAAGCGTGAGATAGTGAAGGGGAAGGTAGTGACAAAGGGGAAATCTCTCACAAGAGGGAACTCAGTGAAGCAGGGCTACTGACAGGGTGATACCTCTCAGAAGAGGGAGTCAGTGAAGGGCAGAGTAGTGACAAAGGAGAAACCTCTCAGAAGAGGGAGCTCAGGGAAGGGGGTAGTAACAAGGGGGATACCTCTCAAATGAGGGAGCTCATTGAAGGGGGGTACAGAAATGGATATCTCAGTAGAGGGAGTTCAGTGAAGAAGAGGTAGTGATAGAGGGGAATATCACTCAAAAGAGGGGGCTCAGTAAAGGATGAGTAGTGATAGGGAGGGTATGGAGAGGGGAGGATATATGATGTATCTGTATAGTGAAGTCTATCATATCTTATATATAAGAATTATAATTTATATATATAAGAATTTCTTATATATAACAAGTATCTGAAACAGTGAAGGGAGGGTATGGAGA